AAATTGATGATACCGTACGAATACAAGTCCCTGATGTCAACCGTGACCGTACAGATGCCCGAAATGTGTTGGCAGTTGTTGTTGGAATAGAAGATTCCGACTTTTATAAATTAGCAAACAAAAATGGTACCCTCAAGCAGCTTTATACCCGTAATCAGTTCCGTAATTTGTAAAGAAAAGTTACTTTCCATAGATGAGATTTCTTCTCAAGAAATATCACTGAGGGAAGCATCTACAGCTAATTTGAAAAGTGGAGGACAAGGCTATACACGCTGTCATTGCAAAAAGAAGTGTTCCACAAATAAATGCAGTTGTAAAAGCAAGGGACTCTTGTGCAATTCAAAGTGCCATAACAGTTTAAGTTGTTTTAATGAATAAAGATTATATAACGTTAATCACATAATATATGTATATGTGTAATGTTATGTATTATTTTTCTTTTCTGATTAAGAATGTATTGTTCGTTTTAGGTTCAACAGTTTTCTCCTATTTTGACATTAAAATGTTGCATTTTTGTCTTTACGTAATAAAAATATTTTTATTCAACATTCACCATCAGCGCATGCTGAATGTCGACATTTGCCGGTGTAAGTGAGAAATAATGATATTTAGCAAACATTTCGTACATACACGAAACGACTGTGTGAATGCTGACATTCACCGGAGAATCTCGACATTCGCCAGATATCGGTCATTCACAGTAACATATATATAACAGCCGGTAAAGTAAAACGACTCCCTAAGACTTACCATTTTAAAGCTTAATCACTCTTGTGTCTTTTATTTTTTATCGAAAATTTCTGAAATTTTCATTGAGGTTTGTGTATTAGAGGATTGACGTCAGAGCCGGCCCTATCATAGAGCGAACGGAGCAGCCGCTCCAGGCGCAACGTTTTGGGGGCGCCTCTGTGTTAAAGAAAATTAAAGGGTATAAATTAGGGGCACCAAGGGGGCGCCATAGTAGGATCTCGCTCCATCCTAAAACTTGCCTCGGGCCGGCACTGATTGACGTTATTAAACTTTGATGGGTAAAGGTCGAGGGGATTGGAAGATAGAGACGAGAAAGGTCGGTCTTTGTTTCCAGGTGGAAATAAGATCGGATCGGGTCACGAAAAAGGTCGCTCNGTACGAATACAAGTCCTTGATGTCAACCGTGGCCGTACAGGTGCCCGAAATATGTTGGCAGTTGTTGGAAGAGAAGATTCCAACTTTTATAAATTAGCAAACAAAAATGGTACCCTCAAGCAGCTTTATACCCGTAATCAATTCGTAATTTGTAAAGAAAAATTACTTTCTATACATGGGATTTCTTCTCAAGAAATATCACTGAGGGAAGCATCTACAGCTAATTCGAAAAGTAGAGGACAAGGCTATACATGCTGTCATTGCAAAAAGAAGTGTTCCACGAATAAATGCAGTTGTAAAAGCAAGGGACAAGAGTCCCTTGCTTTTAACCATTGCAAAGAGAAGTGTTCCACGAATAAATGCAGTTGTAAAAGCAAGGGACAATCGTGCAATTCAAAGTGCCATAACAGTTTAAGTTGTTTTAATAAATAAGATTATATAACATTAATCATATAATATATGTATATGTGTAATGTTGTGTATTATTTTTCTTTTCTAATTAAGAATGTACTGTTCGTTTTAGGTTCAACAGTTTATTTACAAATGCTGTTACTTAACTTTTCTCCTATTTTGACATTAAAATGTTGCATTTTTGTCTTCACGTAATAAAAATATTTTTATTCAACATTCACCATCAGTGCATGCTGAATGTCGACATTTGCCGGTGTAAGTGCGAAATAATAATATTTAGCAAATATTTCATACATACAAGAAACGACTGTGTGAATGCTGACATTCGCCAGATATCGGTCATTCACAGTAACACATGCACAGAAATCCTGTAGTCTCGATAGAAGGGCAGTGCAACATTCGATATTACTTATATCGGGAGTTAATATCGAAATTTATGAAGTTAATTAATTCAACAACCCATTGCTAAGAAACTTTAAAATTTCAAAATTTAGATTACAAATAAAATTCGTTACGTTGATTCCTGTATTGACAATTAAACGATTTCTAACCGACTTCCTTGAATTCCCGCCGATTTAACGTTTGGAAATTGAAATCATGCTTTTGATTGGCTGACAAATTTCAACTATAAACAATTTTGTATTTGAATTCGAAAATTAGTACTGACCAAAATTTTAAATTTCTTTCTGTGATTCGCTAGAAAAAATAGTCAGTTGACTGACGGTAGTTTTAAGAGCAGTATAAATAGGCGGTCTCCGTTTGGAATCTTTACTTATCAACGACGTTCTGCTCTTCTTATCATACTGTAAGTATATATATATTTTATATATACTGTATTGGTCTGAATATTATGCGATGTTTTTCCTAGACGGTTACATGCTAATTATTGATAGAAGCTTGCACTAAAAACTAGTCTAGTACTTTAAAAATTATACTTAATACATTTTATTGTACCTCTTCTATAATCAAACATTTGGATTATAAAAAGTGTTTCTGTCATTCCCGCCAAAGATGTTTTTCTGCTTAACTCGTTTTTTCGAGCCGGTTCATTCAAAAATGTCTTAAGAGACTATAATATAAAAATTCTTTAGTAAAATCTAATAAAAGATAACGCCACACGCAACTTTAACTTCACCTGAAAAGTTAGGTAACTCCAGTAGCGCGTTATAGCTTAGTAGGACCCAGGCAAATTTGAATTAGAGGCCCCATACAGTGTTGAATTCAAACATATTTATTAAGAGAAACTGACACCTGTGCCACACCGGCAATTTACGGTCCCCAGATAAAGCGTCTAATTTAAATTTAGATTTTTTTATTACAATAAAGAATTTATAAAAGAGTGATTTGGTGCCTGCAGTTTATAAGAGCCTTAGGAAATTGTCCATTCTGCCTATAGGATAATGCGCCACTATTCATACTGCGCAATTTGTTGTTAGATTTTTTATTATTTTGCTTTAATTTTAAATAAAAATTTTTTCTTAAAAACTAAATGTATATGCCCAGCTTTCCTCGGGCTTTTGAGGAATGGAGAATTGGCGAGGTTGAGTTAAAAAAGGGTGATAAAAAATAACATTCTTAGTAACTAAAATTCATTGTTCCAAAATGAGAATACCTGAGCTGTTAGATATAGAAAACCAAGTATTTATATAGTTTGTCACTGTTTATATCATTGTCGCAGAAATTAATTGAAAATAATATCCATTTTTTTAAAAATTATATCTTTTTGTATGAATTATTAGGCTGCAATTTTCAAATTGCAGTCCTATACATCCGTACCGTCGTCCGTCTTCCTGTCTATCCTTTATTAACCTCGAAAACGAAGAGAAATAGATGAAAATTGAGAGATATTAAAAGTTTTGGAGCCGCAGGCCTCAAATAACTATATATGAACTTTTGATAGGGACCGGCAGATCGTCCTTGTATTGCGTTGCCGTAATACAACTAACCAAACCAAATTGGATAAAAGCTAAAATTGATTAACATATACGAGTAAAAATTAAATCAATATTTTGGGATGGTATTACGATAATAACTTAGATAATGTTAGGTACGTTAACGTAACTGCCGAGTTGCAGACCAATCGGTCGAACGGTCTAGGAGTGCATAGCGAATGAACAAACATTTTTATTTATGTTTTTATTAAAATATATATCAGATTTAAATATTATTTTCTAATGAAAATAAAGGTGAACACAAACCTTGTCTACGATGAATCAGGACTCAAAGAAAAAATCCTCAGTTTATGAATATTTCACAATAAGTGAGGACAAATTATTTTTTATGTTATGCGAAGGATGATGATGATAGTGAAATTTGTGGCCAAAAGCTTTCTGCTTACTCGGGAAAAGGAAGTAATGCGCCAAGTAGAGTATCAAACATGAAACGACATATACAACGCTATCATCCTAATTTGCTAAAAATCATCACCGACAAAGATAACAGCAGAAGTAAGAGAAATGATAGCTGTAAATTACCAGAAGAAAGAAGAGTGACGACTATAAGTTATTATTTTGCAAGTAATAAAGTTACTGTGTCTATGATCGCTGAAAAATTTAATAGCTGCATTAGTGAAATGGTTTATAAAAATTCTGTGCCTCACTTTTTTCACCAGTTCGGCTTTTATTAGACTGAATGGAGAAATGGCCGATAAACTTGGAGTATCATTGGAAAGCAGCAGTGTTCGGAATCTAGTACTGGAGGATGCTAACAAAGAGAAAACTATACTGAAGAATCTCTTAAAGGGAAAATTCATTTTTCTGAAAATAGATGCTTGTACACACCATCGAGCAAATTACTTAGCTATTAATGTTCAATTTATAGACAATCAAAAGGATGTCGTCATTCGTACGTTGGCAATAAAAGATACTAAATCCCAACACACTAGCAACAGCATTAAAAAACTAGTGCTGGATGTCTTGGACGAATTCAATATTAAAATAGAACAAATTATAGCAATTGTGACAGACAACTCTCATAATATGGTGAGTACTGTCGAAAAAATAAATTCTATGAAGGCAGTAGATGATATTGATAAATCGGATGATAGCAGTGTTAATAATTCTTTAGTTGAGTTTGAAGATGCTGCTTTTTGGGCTTTTTAAGATCTATCATATGCGGTGTGCAGCTCATACGTTGCAATTAGCAATTCGTGATGCCTTGAAAGAAAAATATGCAAGAAGTATTATTGAAAATGTACGAAACGTCGTAATAGCCGCTAGAACACCAAAAATAAATGAGATAATTAAGCGGAGAGCTGGAAAAGGGGCAATGTTAGATCAAGCAACTAGATGGAGTAGTACATACTGTACTTGATGATTGAGCGATTTCTTCAACTGAAATCTGTTCTCAAGGACATGGCCAATCCGAACGTGACGATAACTGAAACTCAATGGAAGGAAGTAGAGGAACTTAAAAATTTGCTTTTTCATTGATATATCGCAACAAAAAAGTTTCAAGCAGTAGACATGACTCCTGGTTTGTTTTATAAGGAGTGGGAGAGTCTTATTTTCCGCTACTCTAAAAGTGACAGTAATATAGCCAATGAAATCAAAAACGCAATAGTGTTCAGAGAAAATCACCTACTAGACAATAACATTCTGTTAGCTGGCATCTATGTTTACCCCATGGTTCGATGCTTACTAACACAGGAACAGGAAAACAGAGCTAAGAATGCTCTGTTTGAATTGGCCATACGAATAAAAGGTCTGAAAATCGAAGAACAGGCGACAACTGATGACATTACTCAAATATTGACACATGAATTACCATCTTCATCGAAGACCCCCTGTGATTCTGAAGAAGAATTTGAAAAATATCTCGACGAGCAAGACAAAATAAAACGTCCTCGGTTGACTTCTAATATGAGCACAGACAGAAAAGGAAATCTCACAAAATTTAGAGATGAGTTTTACCATGTAGTGAAAAAAGTAAATAGCATTGACCGTTCTTCAAATTTGGATGTTAAAACGGCGATACTGCACTATCCAGACATCATCCAAGATACAGCATTGAACGTCACAGCATTGCCACCAGCCCAAGTTTCAGTAGAGCGTTTATTTTCCGCTCTTAAAATTATAAAATCTGATTTAAGAGCTTCCATGAACGCTGACTTAATAGAATCGATTTTTTTTCTAAGAAGTAATTCAGTTTATAAAAAAGATGGAAAATAATAAATTAACATGACAAATAATTATCCTTTTTCTTTACAAGTCTAAATGTTTTATTTGTTATTCTTGACTTAGTTTAATGTATCTGTGTACTTATATATTATCTAATATACGCATATATTATGTGTAAAATTTTTATTAAACTAATTTGTTTGTATAAGAATGTATTTACTGTTTTTATTTACATATGCTTACCAAATACCATTATTATCATAAACGAAGTCAATAAATATGATTTTATATATTAAGTAGACGTGCCAAATTTTAATATTTGATAAAATCGTTTTATTTTGTATTTTTTTAAAAAGTAATCAGAATCGTCGTCATTATTACTTTCCCGGGTGTTATACAGTATACAAAGAAAAAGAATGAAGATCAGTCAGAAAATGAACCGCGAATTTTATTTTTTGGACTCGGGAAGCCTTGAAACGTAGAGAAGTGAAAAAACATTCGAGGTTTTTTCTGTATGTACAGTACTGTATGATGTTAGAATGTGTATGGAGCATGATTTAGTTCAACCACTTTGAAGCTTAATAATTCCTGTGTTCAACCATCTGACTCCGATTCAAAACCCACAGAAGTTACTAATCTTCAAACAGGGTGAACGAAATTGTGCCCTTACGTCTAACAGCCATACATATAGAAAAAAATCCCGCATTTTTTGTAAATATCGACATTTCAAGGTGTCCTGAGTCCAAAAATCTAAAAATTTTGAGATAGGGTCATTTTTTGACCGATCGTTACACTTTCCCTCTGTTATAGGCTATATAACAGCCGGAAAAGTAAAGATTATCGAACACATATTTATATATCAACTATGTCATTACTTAGAGGAGTATTTTAGCTTTGGAATAAAAAAGTTTCTATGTTCAATCTTTATTAGAACAATATTTATTAAAGTTTATATTCTGAAGTCACGTGATGACGGCAGACTTTTCGGGCCTACTTTAACAAGTCCGTCCCTAGTCGGAGTCGTGTAAAAATCTACCGACTCCATAGCCCTGTTAAATATACAAACTTCTTTTAGTTTATTATAAATTTAAATTATTTTTGAATTTTAAAAATGAAAAATATACAAAAAGATACGTTTATTATGGAACATTTATTATCTTAAGCCTGGCCATGGCTTATACTAAATAGGTTGGAATCGTTAGTAAAAATAAAAGAATTTATGCTCAGCAAAAATTAGATGTTTGACGAAATTGTAAACTTGTATGCGTTACACCAATTTGTTTTGATCTATGAACGCTTATCATGAGAGAAATCAGGAGAGAGACAGTTTCTTCCACTTTCAGTTCTTACGAAGTTTGAACCGTTTTTTCTACTGGAATGAATCGGACAAAAGAAGGGAGGACATTTTATGCTCTCATTTCAACATTTTCAGTACTTACACGATGAAAAATTGGAATAAAAACAATATGAAAAATGTTTTCGTACTTTTTTATCGATGAATCTTATCTGTCGTTTCATATTCTTCCGTTTGTAGCATTTTCATTCGTACGAAGAAATAAATGGAAGCTTATGAAATTGTCATCCACAGAATTTTGATCATCCGTTTGACCGTCGCCATTTTATTTCGACAATCAGTAGTCTGGGTGTAAAATATTTTCTATTTAAGATAATGATTTTGTAGTGTTAGCTGAAGAAAATCTGGTTGACGATTGCATTAGAAAGAAAACTGAATGAAGATTTCTAACGAAGAAGACTACGAGAAATTTGAGATATTTTGTGATGTACCAATTGACCCTAGAGTTAGTCGACTGTAGTAAGAAAGGCTGAAATGGTTTGTTATTTGTTTCTTGATCGAAGTTTCTTAAATTAATGTAGACAAAATGTAAGTAGATTAGTAATATTTTTCTGTAAGTCGTTTTGACAACATTTTCCAAAAAAAAAAAAAAAAAAAAAAAAAATTGTGGAGATTTTATAACCTAATTCTCCAACGAAACCTGAAAAATATGAAAATAGAAGGGAAATTTCTTTGTCCTAACATATACGAATTAATACCTGATGAGCTTGATTCTAAAAGTCGTAGATAAAATTACTTTGACCATTGTACTTAATGTCACACTGAATTTATTTAATACGTATCAGTACATTTGATTGGATAAGAAAACTGACTTGAATGTGTTTCTTTTTCAGATTTTAAACGAAGCTGTAATATTGTGGTGGAAAATTTCCAAGAATATTTAATAAATTATTGGTTTAATTTTTAATTATTTAATTTTATTTAGAAAATGACTGTCGTATTTTATCTCAGAGAATGTTTTGTTATTTGCAGGTTCACTCTTGACCAATAGAAGGCATTTCTATGTTATAACTAAAGAATTGTTTCCAGGAAAACACAAGATTTGGAGGATGTGTTTCACTTCTGTTGTTCACGAAATACAAAAATACACAGAATTATACAAGAATTTATGAAAAACAAAGGACAATATATTTCATGCAAATGAAAAGAGAAGAATCAATGAAGATATTTTAAATTATTTTGAAAATATTTTGTTCTTGCAAAATGCACTTTATATGAATTGTTTCATAAAAAAAATGTTTAAATTAAATTAATTTGTGATCGTATTTTGCGTGTTGGTAATATTTGTGAATACTGGTGTAAACAGTCGTGTATATAGTGTGATGATATCATTCGAGTTGGTTGTAAACTTTAAATTTTAGTTTAAAAAATTTACCAGAAAAAGAAGAAAATGTTTTTCTATCTGCATCCAAAACATTAACAATACTTTAAAATTAGTGCCCTTAAATTTTCATTTTTATATATTTGAATAACATTAACTGCAGGAAGTTTTGATGTTCAGTTGGTTTTAATATTTTTATTTATGTTATTTTACAGGTATAAACAATCAGAAAAGAACAAATAGGAAAAATCAATGTGACATATGCAAGAAAGAATTCGCTTCGAAGTATAGTTTAAAAAGTCATGAAAGAATTCACACTGGAGAAGGGCTCTTGTCTTGTCGATTCTGTAATCGGAAATTCAACTATTCCAGCAATTTAAATACACACGTAAAAATTCATACCGGTGAGAAATCATTTATGTGTGACCATTGCAAACGAAGTTTTACACAAAAAGAACATCTTATTCGTCATCTTCGAACTCACACAGGGGAGAAGCCTTTCACCTGTGACTATTGCAAACGAAGTTTTGCACAAGGAGGTGATCTGATTAAGCATCTTCGAACACACACAGGGGAGAAGCCTTTCACCTGTGACTATTGCAAACGAAGTTTTGCACAAGGAGGTGATCTGATTAAGCATCTTCGAACACACACAGGGGAGAAGCCTTTCACCTGTGACTATTGCAAACGAAGTTTTGCACAAAGAGGTGATCTGATTAATCATCTTCGAACTCACACAGGGGAAAAACCTTTCACCTGTGACTATTGCAAACGAAATTTTACACGAAAAAGTACTTTGATAAAACATCTTCGTCTTCATACTGGAGAGAAGCCTTTTACTTGAAATTATTGCTTACAAAAGTTTCGTTTTAAAAGTCGAGTCGTCATATTATTAAACAACATAAGAATAATATTAAATTATAAAATTTAAATTTTTCAATGAGATATAATATTTAGCTATCAAAATTATTGACTCATTGCAGTTTCAAAAATTTTTAATATTTGTGTTTTGGTTTTGTTAAATCTGAAAACAAGAAGTTTATTAGTTTTGTTTTTTGATTTTGTAATTTTTACGATTTAAATAAATGATTTTATGCACAAAAACATAATATGTTTGTCGATTTTTGTAATTAATAAAATTAATTAAAACAGTAAAAATACATCATCATAAATAAGTGTATCATTTACTTGACTGAAGGATTCTTTTCTAGTAATCACGAATTATTCCTTATAATTCTTTAACTGTATTTCAGAAACAACATTAATTCTAACAAGAAAGTTGTAATATTTACTGTTTTATCCGAATATTGTGCAATGATTACAATTACAGAATTTTAACGCAGATGTCTTTTTTCCAAATAAAAAGTAAAATTCTTTGAAAATTTTTACAATGGCTGACTTTTTGAATTGTTGAATTAATGACGTTGTTGGTTTTATATAAGATCAGCTGGAGTGATTTTATAATTAGACAAAAATATATATCGGACTCAAACCTAGATTGCCTTTGTAGGGATATTTATTGTTTATTTCTCGTACGTCTTTTTGTCAGTATTCGTGTTTAAGCTAATTATAACAGTTTCAAAATTACTCATTCTTTCTCACTGATTCATAAAGATGAATCGTTCTCAATGATTACTGTAAAATTTATACTTACAAATATCGAAAATTAACGGCGAAATTAAAGGATTTTCAATTTAAAATGGATTTAATTGAAATAAAAATTTTTCTACTTGTTGTATTATTGCGAGCGGTCAAAAAGTGACTCCCAAGATTTTTTCATTTTTGGACACAGGGACAGAGTCATTCAGGAATGAAAAACATTTGGGAATTTTCATGTATAAATGGATGGTTGTGTGCTTGTGCGCTGCATAAATTTTTTCACCCACTTTGAAACTTAATAATTCTTATGCCTTTTGCCCAAAAGTTTCAAATTTTGCAGTGAGGTTAGCGGATTAATTTATTAAACTTTGGTTGTTGAAGGTTATGGATGAGAAATACTTGGTTTTGTGTGTCGTATCTCGAATAAGGTCGGAGTTAATAAAGGTTTTCTACGGTTTTAGTATTTACAGTTGCTTAAAAGCTGATCTTTATCTTGAAAATTGGGCTTACTTTTATATTGTAATAATTAATCTATATCTATATATATATATATATATAAAAATGGACATGTATGTCCCTATATCTCACTTTTTCGCCAAAACTACACATCGCACGTGAATGGTGTTTGTATGTGGTGGTAGCCCCAAGTCTCCATTCGTGCATAGGGGTGGTTGCGTCTCGATAGCTATAAGGGTGCGGGAGATATGAGGCTGAAAGTGGTTGAAAGTGGCTTTCTATTTCGAATGTTTTGTTCGATTTTTTCGAATTTGTTCGAATTGGTTCGATTATAGAACGATTGAAAACGTTCCAGAAACGTTGAAATTTGTTCGTTTGACTAAACGAAAAAATTCTCTAATTAGTCTGGAAACGGGGGACCTAATTCTTGCATTTTGTGAAAACGGGTAAGATTAGCTATAATGTAATTATCTTAATCTTCACTATCGTTACTTTTTGCCCAGCGAAGCGGGTTCTTGCAGCTAGATTCTAGATTACTTAGAAAAACAGTCTTTTATATATATAAAAAAAAACTGTACTATTACATACAAATAAAAACCCAGCGAAGCGGGATCTTATATAATAATATTATCAAATAAGATAACGTAACAGATTACGCCATATGTAATTTCATATGTTCTTACCCAGGAAATTTATGCTAATCGTTGCTGGCATTTTATTAATAGCTATTTACGTCGTTTTTGTAAAATTTTAGTCAAACATAATTCTATTGCACTTCGTAAATATGGAAAAGTGCCAAGTTATATTCCATTGCCTTATCTGAAGTGAAATTCGTCTGATGAATATCACAGATAACAGTTTCGACTTTGCTTCAGCTCTTTGAAATCTGAGAATAAAGTTCATTTGTATAGTGCAGTTAATCGAGAATGATATACGATGTCTTTCAGTATCTGAATTACAATTAATACTCTGCCGTGGTTTATCAGAATATTGTATGGCTATGGAATTAACTCTAATTGAAGATGTAGCTCTTTCTTCTATTTCTTTTACACTTAGTGCGGATAATTTCTAATTTTTTGTTTCGAATAAATACACTCATTGCTATAAAAATTAGTACACAAATAAGCAGTTGTCAGAATGAAACGAAACATTTATGAGTTTAATGGTGATTTACGTAAGTGATTACAAAACGAAAGCAGAAGGATCATTCAGTGCAAGAAAAACTATTGATACATATCAAAGAAAGTTCTAGCACCCTGTTGGGCCACCTCTAGCGTTGATACAGAATGTGACACGGGCGGGTGTGAAGGTAGACAGGAGCCGTATGGTTTCCTGCGGCATCTCCGTTCACACTCGCTGCAAGCAGTCTTCTACTTTGCTCAAATTTCTAGGCTGTCAAACTTGGAGTCCCAAATGATCCCAGACATGTTCGATCGGTGACAAATCAGTGACCAAGCAGGTCAGGAAAGTGTGTCGATGTCCCCTAGGCAGTTTTGTGATACATTTGCTGTGTGTGGAGGCTTGTCTTGAGAAGCAACACGTGGCTGCAGTGTTGTTATCATATCGCTGGGCTGTGATAGTCCCTTGGATTACTACTAGTGGTGATCGACTGTTGTATGTCCCAACTGACTCTCCAAATCAGTTGGGACGTGTAGGCAGTATTGAAAGGTTCATCACGGGGCTTCTAAATCAGACCACGGCCGTCTTCAATGCCTAAACTGAAGCTGGATTCGTCGCTGTAGACGACTTTGTTCCATCCTGTTGCGGTCCAATCCCGTCGATAGCGAAACCACTCCGAACAGAGGCGACACTGGGTGGTTATCAATGACAGCACACAATGGCTGCCGCGGTACTAATTGTTTCTCACCCGGCGCCTCGAAATGGTACGGATAGACATAGAGGTCCGTAATGGTAGAGGCAACTGTGTCCGGATGGCAGACAACAATATAGTCGGTTGTGTGAGTGCTTGTCAGATGACCAGCAGTACTCTCGGCTAGTGGTATGCCAAAGGCGTCCTAAAGGAAGATGCACACATGCGACGCGGCAAGGGAAAGCGGTGTCGCAAACGCCGCGCGGCAGCACAACCACACAAGCGGCAATCCGCTTACATTTCGGCGCATGCGTTCAGTATTCAAGACAACGAACGATACTGACACTGCCGCTAGCCACGTGTTTACAAATTTTGAATTTTGTACAGCTTGCTTTATTTAGCTAGATTTTGTCGAAGGTTCGAACGAAGATTTTGGATTAGAGATATTTTCTTGGATGGAGAAAGAACTGGTGTACAAATACGCTTATTCCTTCATTAAGATCTCTCGATAAATAATACTATTTCGAATAAGACTCGGTTGGATTGTTCTTTGAATTAAATTATATATGATTATTTGTGTAGAATTTGTATTAAATTTATTATCCTTTCTTCTATTCTGATGTTAGTTATCTCAGTTAACCGCGTCGAACAATCACGTGATGTTTTAATGGCGGAAACCATTAAAACAAAATGTAATTGTATTTTCTCACGTGACTATCAGACGAATTGTTACTGGCTGATAGAAACGCGTCTTGGTGGCGGTCGCAGCAAAAGATAGAATTCAGCCAACTTTTGCGGTACGAGAAAATCGGCACAAAATCGACTTCTGCGGCGAGAAAAAGTGACGTCATTCTGCCGCTTTTCCTTGCCGCGCCGCATGTGTATATCCGGCTTTAAGGAGGATGTATATATAGATGGAGGATGGATATACAGTAGACCCCCTATAACGCGGGTTCCACTTACGTAGATTCCTATAACGCGGCGAAAAAATTGCGACAATATTCGTATAAAGACGCTAAAAGAGACGCGTAAAACGCGGTAAAACGTCATCGCCAACTCGTCATCGCAGACAAGCAGCCGAACTACTTTCCACCGTCCAGTGCCACGCTACGGAGAGTTTAGGTGGGTAAATTGAGTTTACTATCGTCTGTACAGTATTATATATCAATTAGGTACTGTACATATAATTATATATTAATTATATATAAATTAGGTACTGTATATATAATTATATATTNGTTAACCGACCGCGTTCTAGTCGGCAAATTCAAATGTCCTCTAGTGATGCGGCGCTACAATATTTGGCTATATCTTGGTTACTTTAATATTATTTTTGTTAAATTTTTGCGTGTTTTAGCTGGCTACACTGGCTCAACCATGAAGGGGAGGAAAGTATTTAAACGAGGCTTAAATTTTAATTATGAGTGGTTATGTTAAGATTAACCGCTTCCTCTCCGATCAATTTTTAATTACATTATAATTAAACATAAAAAATACTTAAAACTGAAAAAACGAAAGAAATGCGTTATTTTTGAAGAAAAAGCTTCAAACTTTATTTTCCATTGTCTCGCGTTTCTGCGAAATTTAACACCGATGAGTCATTGTTTATACATCTGGATGACCTTGAACACAGCTGGTGTTGGATTTTCCGGGACATTCTCATAAAACAGGAGGCGAAGGGTTTATAGTAGGGTGAATACTAGCTGGCTGTATATTTTTAAATATTTTTCAATGTACAGTACAGTACTGTATTTATTTTGTGCAAAATAAAGAAATAATTTTTAACGATGCAATAGCGACAATTATTATTTAAAAAAAAATTTGATAGGCTTTACATGGAGGAAAATTCAACGCGAAGTAGGTTAATAGCGATATACTAATATACTAATTACATAGGATATAATACTATACTACACTAATAATGGATTTTTTCATACTTTTCGGTTATTTGATTTTTCAATTATCCGACCAATCCCAGTCTCCAATTGAGTCGAATAATCGATGCTCTACTGTATATTGTTTCATAATTTTAATTTTTTTAATAAATATTTGAAATATTCTCTAAATTAGGAAAAGGAA